ATTTTTAATATTTTTGTTGTACTCTGAAGGTTGTGGCAGTTTAATTGGTTTTGTGTTGTAGGGCTGCTAGCCCCACCTCCAATCCTCCCTCTTTACCTGGGCTTGGGACCGGGTAGAAAACTAGCAGGCCAGTAAACTAGGCGAGGCTGGCAAATGAATACATTCCCCATATTTATTAACGTAAAGCACAAATACATGTATGTGTGATTCGCACTTGTCGCGGGTGGAATAGGTTATACATACCAACGATCGGCAGTTAGACTATGTGTGTAAGCCAGAAAATTCAGTCCACCGATAGTATATTAAATATTTTGTATACCTATGAAATGTGAGATGTGAAAATTATTCACCAATTACTTTAGTAGATCATCGCTATATATATTTACAATGAAGCCGTCAAATTGGGAAGCCACAGCCAGAAATATTAATTTTGATGAGAAATAATAAAACCAGCCATAGAAAATAAAACTAAAATTATGAAAGAGAAACAAATTTTAATCTCTTGTTATAAGACTATTTAAGTAGCCGAGTATCTCCAGGATAACTCAAACGGTCTTACTTTTGTCCTTTAGTCAACCTTAATTCATCAGTAGCAGTGAGCTCGATTTTAAAATCAAAGTCAACTAACTTTTATGTAATTACCACGGATTATAATCATTGTGAAAATACTTATTAAAGTAGGTAGCATATAAATAGAATGGTTTTACGAATTTGATGTGCGCAGTATACGTACAGATCGAACGTCTAATTTCTCATCCTACTTCTCAAACTTATTTTTAGTCAAATTCATTCTCGGGTTGTTTGTGAAATGAGATAAACAATTAAGTAGTAATTCTGCCTTGAATCTAAGATCATATCACCATTTTTTCTGATTATTTCTTTTTAAAAATACTAAAAGCTGACAGACAGCTTATTACTTTGATAATACTGTTACAAATTCAGCATTAAAAAGAAAACAGGCTTCCTGATTCTTTTCCCACACCATCCCATGTCATATGGTTAACTTAGCAATCACTACACGATTGTTACATATATATATATATATATACATATATATATGCGACACATGATTACTATGTTCTAATATTTCTCCTTATTTGCTCTCACTGTCTCTCTCCCTCTCTATAAACAATAAAAAAAACACTTCGAAAATTATGTGAAATTTCAAATCATGTTTATTATTCGAAACTGATGAATCACACACTTATTCTAATGTACAGACCATGCAGAGAAAAGAAAAACACTGGCAAAAATAAACGAGGAGTAATGAAAGAAAAACAACAGCAGAATGAGTGCATATTAATGAAGAATTCTATATATTGTTACAGTTTTCTCTTCTTCGATAACCCGTTAGTGAAAACAACATGTGTATAATATGAATCACCATTGATATTCATGAGGAACTACTATGAAAATGCATTGTTCCTGTTCACTCAAAGGTTCATTTAAAATTTATTGTTTGAAGTTTGTTAGCCGAAATGTGATAACTGAAACCGCAACTCAGAATATCGTGCTCACTTTTGTAAAGACTGAACATTTTTAACAGATCCTAGCAAGGTAACTTATCTTAGTGCACTTCTTATTTACTTGGATGAATAAACTTGATGATTGTTCTTATTTAGTGAGATCATAAGATTGTGACAGTGACAATTTTGAAAAAGATCACACACCATATTCAGTATTCTTAAGATACATTGACTGTATTTCATTCTGTTTAATTAGTTTTCAGGACATAAGTGGTTTCGACTATTCGTATTATTATTGCTGTTACTATTATTATTAGTTTTTTACAATAAGACACTTTTCCACAAGATAATTAAACTTTTAAATGCAATTTGCATTCAGACAGATCGGTGCTACTGCCTTTTCCTCGTGTGATAATCCACTTTCCAACTAATTGATTCATGTTATTTTGAGTATGCCTTTTTTTTGCCGTTTCTTTCCTTCTGTCATCTAAATTTTGTTTAGCGCTATATATTATACCTATTTCTGAAGGTTAATTTTCTTTCTACACGGACATTTGATAGAAGACTATTTAGCATGCTAGAGCAAAGAGAAGTAGTCTGTCTCGCTATAAAACTATTCACTTTTGATCGTCTGTGACCTAATTGAGCTTGAAACAGTTCGCTATTCAGTCATCAAACCAAATAGTTTTCAATAACATTGGAGTGTTAGACTGTGATCGGAATTCTGCTGTATTTGGAATTAAAACTCATATTAAAAATAACACCGTGTTCAGTAAGTAACATTTCTGTGAATAAGTGTAATAAATATGTAAAATGGATAATAATCTATCCTAACCTGTCCAAAGTAAGGTTCGTAATTTAAGAACAAAATATTTAAAATAGTGGTAACAGGCACACAGTGTCAACTGATGAATCTATGACATCTAATTTGATCACACTACAGTCAATAGGCAATTGACACATCACATAAAAACAAATAAAGGAAGTGATGAAAAATGCGAAGTCAGCGGAGGAAACATCTACATCAAAATGTTATTTTCATGCATGAGATTAAACTAAAACGTTGTAGCTCTTCGGAATACTGGTTAAAACTCAAACTCAGACAGGACCTCTACATTATTGTTGACAATACAAACAGATTTATTCAGACGTCTGCTAAACAAAATCCAATGTAGCGCTCAACTCGATTTTAGTACATCAGTTGGATAAAAGTGTTCTGGTGAGCATCAAAATATGATTATCAGCACCAAGGTATCAGTGAATATTTCACATAACAAGCTAACAGGCATTCTTTCAGTCTGTCTGCTTGATATTTAACATTTTTCATGAGTGTGCTTAGAATAGTACAGCACTTTAACTATCCGATTTGAATCAGTTTGTCTAGGCTGCTCATGAATGTAAACTTGGGAGGGCAGAACATCCGAGAAGTTTTGAGATTAATTTGAACTGGTTGACGAGTAATACTGATCAGTGTGACTGATTTGTAACATCATGGGTCCGTCTGTAACATATGTCATTGTATTATTTATGCTTAGTGTCTTGATACCTTTCACATAACTTATAGTCACGTGATAATTATGTGCATTTTAAGTATGATCGAGTGGAAAAAGCACTTCAGATTGTATACTTTCTGAAAATATCAGCTTCCTATAAAGGAATAATGGTGGTTATTGAGTTGTCTGGGAAAAATACGAAGCATCTTTTTGTTACATACACTCAGACCCATGATCCTGTACATATTAAGTAAAAAAGGAAAAAATAAGAGGGATTTCTTCAAAGAACGCGAGATAGTTTGCAGTGAAGTATTTTACTGTATTTTCTCTTCTGGAGCAATGTTATTTTATTGAAATTGTGATGAATAGAATCCACAAATTAAGGTTAAAAGATCTTTCAGCCTAAAAGTCATCAAAGACCGTATGTCTGGTATAAGTGTAGAACTTGGGCATTGTGACAGAATGTAATTCCTTATTAGATAAGTTTATTTTTAAATGTCACACAGCTATGCAGTATTAACAACTAGATGACGTTTTCAGCATAAATTACTGCTCACAATCATATCAGTTTAGTCACATGAGTTCACAATTTTTTTATATGAACATATTTTCTCCCTTTCTCTCTCTCCAACTTCCCCTTGTTGTTTTTTGTTCCCTTTGTTGTTTCTAAGTTATTTAACATATCAGGGTCAATCATTCTACGTCTAGCTAAATTTTTCACGTTCCACTAACCTTGTTTTACCTATGTAACTGACCTCACAGTCATTGCATGGTATCTGGTAAATTATATTATTTTCCCTAATTGAATCTGTTGCTTCCTTAATCCGACAAAGTTTAGCTCTGAGAGAGCTCAGTCACCGCATGACATTCATTTGCATGTGATCACGAAGTAGGGTGGGTGAGACGGGGTGAGAGTATTTAAAATTAATATAGTTAGGTGGACAGAGAGGTTAACCATTCAAGCTTTGTTTATCAATTCAACACCACGCATATGCAGTCGGAATGACGCAACGCCTATACCGGAGATATGGAAAGTGGCAACAAATAACAAGGGGAAGTTGGAGAGAGAGAAAGGGAGAAAATATATATTAGACAAATTTTGAAGCCGTGTGACTAAAATTGATATGATTATGAATGGCAGTAATTTATGCCCGAAACGTCATCCAGTTGTTAATACTGTATCACTGTGTGATATTTAAAAATAAACTTATCTAATATAGGACTGTTTCTCTGGTTTAATATAACTCTTTGTTTTGTTTGATAAAAAGCGCTGGATTGTACATGACTATGTACTTCACTGATTTATTGATTCTATTATAGATGCACACTCGACTTACGCTTGAGGAAATCGCAGAGTAAATCACCTAGAACATTTGTATATACATAATATTTAACATCAATGAGAAGTAAAACAAATGTTAGTTTAACAATGAAGGATTTCTTTTTCTAATTTCGTGCCAGTGAAGGGGACAGTGATGGTACTCCCGTTACTGTGACAACAGTTATCACTTTTTAATAATAATAATAATAGTAACTTCGTTAAATCGCTGAGTTCTGTATCACAGAATTAGGTCAAATGTATAAACCGAATAAACAGCAAAATTGTGAAAGGAAGAAATATGCCGACTCTGAAAATAATATATCTAGCTATAGTTTAACGAAAAATAGCCGATAGCACAGGTGGCTGCATCTAACTACCAACAAGCATCTTTTAGAATAATCTCTGCTAAGTGAATTAGTCTATTCAGTTTATTTCTGACGCCAACGGTTTATCAGTAGACAACTGAAAAATGTCTAACGACAACTTGATAGGTTTTTTTTTGTCACCTTTTTCGACAGTCAGAAGTTGTCCATAAAACTTTTCACACTTTGAATTCACGGAAAATTCCTACTGATCTGATTGGATTAGAATATGATGAGCTTACTAAGCCTTGACTGAACACCTTTTCTTGATAGACAAATAAAAATTATCTCATTTTATTGTCTATTGGTGAATTGTCTATTAATATTAACCAATCAGAGGAAGGCAATATTTTGATAATTCTTATATGATAATTCTTTATTTCGAGAATAAATACTTCAAAATATAAAACACTTACAATTCTTATGCTTGTGAACAATTTTTACTCATAAAATTCTCTCACAAACATGATAACATGTTAGTTTCGCTTCACTTAACGATATATATGAACAGGATATTTACCTTGACAATTTTTATGTTAATAATCATTTTCCAAGAAGCAGTACAGATTTCGTTGAACAAAAGCAGTTATGTGAAAGTCTCATTATGTAATATTACCAGGATAAATAATAATTTGAACAAAGTTAACATTCGTGTCAGACGCCAAGTTGACCCTTCCATCCCAATAGTAACTTCAAATAATTTGATATATTCGGCTGAACTGCGAATTATTGCTAGTGCAGTATGCAAGTCACAGTGTTTGCAAAGATGTTCGGAGAAATTAATTAAGGACTCTACTACAGACAATATGGTGAGATAAAAGTGTTAATATTTTTATATGAATCATGATTACTTACAGTGAACAGAACAGCTATGACACTTTCTTACGGAAAATCAATTACACTAGACTCAGAATCACGTGACAATCAAGAGATTATAAAAGTAGACTTTTTCTGCAGCTTGTAGTTATTTGTTTAGTGGTAACTAGCAGTATACTATTTGGGGCTTGTCAGTTGGATGTACTTCCACTGAAATGAGTAATGCTATTATCATACAGAGTACTAGGTAGACAAAAATAACTTTTGCAATAATGTAAGCAGGTACCTTTCTAATTAAATTAAAAGTGTTTGGAGCCAAAACAAGGGCTTAGTTCATAGTGAAAGTGTCACACTTTATAAATGCAAGTCTACACAGGGCCGAGTAAGAAAAAATAAAAGTTTGCAAAAGGAATGATATTTCCTGAAATCTGTAGTTTGCAAGAATACGTTCTCATTCACTGGAATTAGGCAATCATTCAGCTCTGCCGATTAGATTCAAAGAAACGATAACATTATTCCCCTGAAAAGATTACCTTAATTCTATGCTATTTGAAAATTATGGATCTGATTTAGCCTGTTAAACAATGGCTAAGTCTATAATATTATTCTAGAAATGCTACTTATAGTGGATTAACTATTTTAGCGGGCTAATTTTCTCTAATTTAACTTTTTATGCAATCCTTTGTAGCCGAACAATTAATATTTGCACCAATTATTCACTTTTTTACTTCTCAATAATCTGTGTGGATTTTTAGACTAAACTGAAGTGCCTTTATCAGCAGCTATCAATTACAGTGTACAATTTATCTTTAATTCCTTATACGAACTGGAAGAGTGGGAGTTATGCAAGATTTGTTTTACCGAAACATGTTTAAAAAAAGTAATCTATCAGGAGAAAAGTAAAAAATTTCAGAAATCTACCAAATATTGCTTATATCGTACACATTCACACACATCTAACACGGCGAGCATATGCTTATCAAAATTTTTCATTAGTCATATGCGAAAAGTTCGTAGAAAACTAAAACTACTGAAAAGTTTTTATTTAAATTGAAATCACACGAATCAGTAAGTAAGTACTCAAGAATCATTTATGCGTAATCGAAGATATGTATGAAGACTAAATGACTGAGTTTATACTAGGAAAGGGCAAAGAATAAAAGGATTTTGTTCACATACATGCTGACCTTTTTCGTGAATGGAAAGACTTGTGTTTCACTAAACAATCACAGAGAAAAATATTTGAGAATCTTCACTTAATTTATCACACCCAGAAAAAATTTCTGTTGATACTCGTGTTTTAGGCGTATGTGTGGTAGAGAGGTAAACTGTTTGTAAATCTATTTTGATAGCCATATTAGTGGCGGTAATAATCTCCTCTAGTTAACATACTGGTGGTGCGGTTCATGTCATGAACATAATGATAGAAAGCAATGTGCAGTGCTACCGTTAACGACCAAATCCTTTCCATGAAGTCTCAATACAATATGAGGAAGTTGTTCAGTGGGCAATTCTCTCTCCAAAACCTAGAAAGCTTAGAAAGTTAGATACCTAAATTCATGTAAAACTGTTAAAAGTTTGAGGGAAGATGAAAGTGAACTGTAGAAATGGAAGAGTTTGTGGGGATGTGACTGGTTTCAAGTAACACCATGAAATAACCTCACTTACAGAACCAGTGGAAACCAGGAAGTACTTACTTCACAGCTATTTCGTCCTAGTATGAGACTTTCCAATAGTACAAATCCATTACTCCACAGAGTACCTAGGAATTTCAGATTACAAGGCCACTGACCATCAAGCTACTAGGGAAGAGTCCAATCGCCCACGAATTGTGACTTCCGAAAATTCGTGATATATTTTATTTTTTAAAAATTTATTTTTGATTAAAGCTTGATTCCACACTGTATTTTTGGTACTAGTATGGAATTTTCAGCATGGATATCGGTAGCCCAAATTTTGCACGCCCATCATAGATATCAGGTGTGCGTCGGCAGGGCATCGAACCTCGGACCGTGTGCATGGTCGGTGAGAGTCCTAACCACTGTGCCATCGACGCACACATATATGGTGAAACCACCAACCACTGTTATCAAAAAGTATTTTTCCCGACGAACGTCATTGGTTGCGACTTCTCACTACAGCTCCGTCACTTTTATCCTGTAATCAACCACTCGTGAACATTAGACTAATCTAACAGATTTATAAAATTTCCCACCTAAACAGAAGAGATATTTGAAAGAACTCATTATTATTTCATTTTACCACTGATAGCTGAAAGTTATATTAAATTTGTTTTTATTTGATAATATCACTTTAAATTTGTTCAAATTAAGTGATTTCTAGCAAAATGCATAATCTAAATGCATAATTGGGTCTGATTACTTGGGGACGAATTATCGTCTAATTTGACTTCAGTTGTTGTATTATCAATAAAAAAATAAGTGTGTACAATGTGGTTAGCCATTTGTCAATGTCAATAATTTTCACTATACACATATACACCCCATAATCTAATTACACGGTCATAATTTAATTATACTGTTTCAGTAAATATTCGTTATCTTCAGGAGACAGTTAAACACCTTAGGCAAAAATACAGGTAGTGGAAAAACAAAGAATACGCTTTGTCTCAACTTCAGAGACAGACTGAAAAAGGAAACAGCTTTCTATTAACAATTTAGCATTTGTTGCATGTTAAGAGCATTTAGAAGAAATCGTATGCTTTTTATGACAGTTTTTACCTTTCACCTTATTACACTTGCTACTCACAGTTAAAATGTATCGTCTTCAGAAAATAATTAACACGGCTAGGTTTGTTTTTAATATTATCTGAATAAACGTGCTGGTAGCAGGTATTCAAAAACTTTACTTAGGCGTTCACAGTATTTATGTCTTCTGTCTGTTTAGTTCATGTTTGCAACACTTTACAGTTATGTGAATGTTAGTGCTTGTTTAGTGTAGGCTTATCGCCTTAGTCCGATCATGGGATGAATCCACCAGAGATATACTTTTTATTTCTTCATTATTTTAAATTTCCACCCCATTTACAGTCCGAGTTGAACATAAGGCTTCAGGTTAGACGCTTGAAATTTCGATAGCTGAGGTGTTTATTTTTACTGGATGGGGTTGTTAGCCTCATGGCCAACCTTCTCTCCTTACCAGTCTTATTACCTGCCTAAAGTGGTAAAAGAGTGCGTTGGCCGGGGACCAAACCCCGGGACCACATGCGGCGTGGTTGGCGATCATTCCAGCTTTGTACCACAGACGGACAACAGATATGCCACAGTAATCACTTAAAAATTATGCTATTGTACTTCAGAAAATTGTAAGCTAGGCAAGTTCATGTTCAAAGCTTTGACTTGTACAGTTTAAAAGGAAAACAAGCTTGTTAATCAGTAAAGCCATTCATAACCTTCCTAAGCAGTTGGATTACATTTTGCGTTCTTTTACATAAATTGCAAGTTACAATCGTTTTTAAATCCCAGTATTTGATGAACACCAATATTTTATACAAATTCATTTAAAAATCACCATAGTTACGTTTAAAAAATTAACAGAAGACCCTCAAATATGTGTGATTATTGATGTATTAGTTCCAGTCACATTTTACTACTCATAATTAATATGGCAGTGGTGTATCATTATATTAGACAGAATCATATGCGAAATCTAACAGATGATAGTAACCATAGTAATTCGTGGAGATATTAAATGAAATGTTCAGCTAACTGTATGCATATGTCTGACATCCTTTGCCCAATTAACTAGACTTTAGTAGTAGATAAAATGGTATAAATCTAGAATTTCGTTCTGCATATGACTACTCCGTTCGGTCGAATTTAATATTGTCGAGATAACTAGTATTTGTCATGAAAAGTAGTACAAGACACAACGAAAATCTAACATCCATATGTTGGCAGTTATTCAGTTAGTCTTGGAGCATCATATATTCGAAATATATATATATATATATATATATATATATATATAAAGAATATTTTCACAGGATTTTGATATAGATTAGTATTCTTGCACCGAAGAGAATTCGCCAGATTAGAAATTGGCTACATAAAAATCTTAGTGTTCCTTCTCAATGACTACTTATGTATGGAATTCTAAGTTGGCTGTTGAGCATTGGGTTTGAATCAGAAATATTAGAATAAAGGCGTTATGCAACCTCATATTCTGAATGCTTTTATACTAGAGCTGGCTGTAACTTCTAAGATTTTTATGCAGTCTAATCACAGTGCACTTCTACGTTGGATATGTTCAATTAATGTTTATTAATGGCTTATTTTGTTGCAAAAGTCTTCAAAAAAACACATTTACTTCATTTTATCTCAAGCCTTCGTAAATGATTATTATTTCGCAAATCTTTAAACATAGATTTTTTAAGTATTGTTTTGTAGGGATTTGATACATTGGTTACAGGAATTCATCATGAGATGACATTAGTTACAATACCACTGGAAAACCTGGGGATACTGGGCAACCGTTTCGTCCCAGTTTTGGGGCTCTTCCTCAATAAACACCCACCAGGGGTCGAACCCAGGAACTTCTGGTTACAAGGCGAATTCGGATCCGAGTGACTTAATGGTCTATGAGCTCGTCTTGTAATCAGAAGTTCCTGGGTTCGAACCCTGGTGGGTGTTTACTGATGAAGAGCCCCAAAACTGGGATGAAACGGTTGTCCAGTGCCCCCAGGTTTTCCAATGGCCCTGTAACCAATGGCAGCTCATGATGAAATCCTGCAGCCTAAATTTAAACAGAAAGCATGTACATGTCTTGATTGATATCAGCTTTTTCTTGCATAATTTAACACATTTCTTATATTGACTTGATTACAATTTTCTAGTGGTAGCAAGGGTAAGTCGGTGATTCCGTGATAGAATGTTTGCCAAATAGTCATATGGTCTGGGTTTGACTCGCAGTTGATGCAGTTCAGCAGCCAACAGTTGTTCCGGGGAAATTGAGGCTGGCGATTCCATCGCAT